CTTGTGTGTCTCTACACCTGAGACACACTCAGACACACTGAACTGTACTACACTGTTCATACTATTTTTTTGTTGTTGTTACTTTTACCATATAACATTGTTGTTGAATACCCAGTTCTCTTGAGGTTGCATTAAATAGTGTACACTCTCCAGTATTTTAGATTTGGACAAATAAACAAACATTATTTGGATATCTGAATGTCTAGCATCTGATGCTACAGAGCCCTGTACAGTGTTGTAAAGTACTTAAGTAAAAGTACTACTTAAGTAGTTTTTTGGGGTATCTGTACTTTACTTGACTATTCCTATTTTTTTACTACTTTTACTCTTACTTCACTACATTCCTAAAGATTTTTTTTAACTTTTTACTCCATACATTTTCCCTGACACCCAAAAGTACTCGTTACATTTTGAATGCTTAGCAGGTCAGGAACATGGTCCAATTCATGCACTTATCAAGAGAACATCCCTGGTCATCCCTACTCTGATCTAGCGGACTCACTAAACACAAATGCTTCGTTTGTAAATGATGTCTGAGTGTTGGCGTGTGCCCCTGACTATCTGTACATTTTAAAAACATGAAAATGGTGCTGTCTGGTTTGCTTAATGTAATGAATTTGAAATTATTTATACTTTTACTTTTACTTTTGATACTTAAGTATATTTTAGCAATTACATTTACTTTTGATACTTAAGTATATTTAAAACCAAATACTTTTATACTTTTACTCAAGTAGTATTTTACTGGGGGACTTTCACTTTTACTTGAGTCATTTTCAATTAAGGTATCTTTACCTTTACTCAAGTACGACCATTATGTACTTTTTCCACCACTGGCCCTGTACAATTTATAAAAATATATTATGTGAATCCATAAAGGCAGACACATTTCGAAGTATGATAGAAAATATCCATATTTATTTTATGGTGGTTCTACATCAGGGCTGTCCAACCCTGTTCCTGGAGAGCTACCATCCTGTAGGTTTTCACTCCAACCCTAATCTAGCACACCTGATTCTAATAATTAGCTGGTTGATAAGCTGACCCAGGTTAGTTACAACTGGAGTTGGAGCGAAAACTTACAGGAGGGTAGCTCTCCAGGAACAGGGTTGGAGACCCCTTTTCTACATGGTCTTATGCTGAGCCACAATAGCTGCGTTTACACAGGCAGCCCAATTCTGATATTTTTTTCCATTGATTGGTCTAAATCACATCAGATCTTTTTCAGAACTGATCTGATTGGTCAAAAGACCAATTTATGAAAAAAATATCCGAATTCGGCTGCCTGTGTAAACGCAGCTAGTGTGGCTCAGCATAAGACCATGCAGAATATTTGCTGGTACTGCATGTCTCCTGGAAATACATGGTTGTTGTCTTAGCATTTAGCACTTTTTGTGGAAGGGATGTAGGGCAACACACCTTTGTTGGTAAAGGTATCAACCAAATTGTTTAGGGACAATGAGGGGACATTGGGAGCTGCTTTTGAGAGGAATGATCAGTCAACAAAGGGAATGGGCTTGGGGGCTAAAGAAGGTGTGAATAGTCTTTAGAAGGTGGTTCTTACACATATTAATTGTTGTGTATGGGAGATTGAGGAGAAATGGCACCTCAATCACTCACATACACAACAATACATTTACTGTCTAAGCACAACCCTGCACAACCAAAACCCCCTTCCTCATCTCAAAGTACAGTCTGTAAACCTCCCCAGCTCATTGACTTTGACAGATCATTCTTGTCAATAGTAGCCCTTTGCAGGGGTAGACATGTCTTTGTATTGTGTTTTGAGAATCTGCAGAGAGAAGAGTGAGGTGGTTGTGTCATTACTGTTGTAGTCTTGATTTTATACCTTTCAGTGTCCCTTGCTTGTTTCTGTCCCACAATCTTGTTGTGCTCCATAACCGTAAGGTGCATTCGCTCCCTCATGCTTGTGTACACAAAATGCACCCGCTTTGGGGTATTTTTCAGCAGGGCACTGTGGAATGACTCCAGATAACCTGAGTTTTACAAAAAGAAAAGGTAAAAAGAGAAGAGGGGTAGACTAAATTGATTACATTGTCTGGAAGGTACTCTGTGGTCCTCAGGCTACCTTTAACCACCTGTAACCCCATAACACAAATCATACAAACACTACCCAATTCATGTTTATACCATGCTTACTGTATCTTAGCCAACTTACCTTCACCCTGTGCAGAGCTAGAGGTTGGAAGCTCATGTTGGTGGAATCAGATTCTGTACCACCTACAACAAAATACTCAACAATACACAATTTAACCACCCCACTAATTGTATTGAGCTTTATTAGACTGGCTAGCTAAGCATACCTAACATGGACATTTCAATATTGTCAGCTTGCTGTTAGCTAACTAGCGTCACTAAATTGGCAGCAAGATTGCTAGACAGTTGAGGCTGTCTGAGAACCAACTAACCAACATTAGACAATTTATACACATTCATCATTGCTACCAACACACAAACAGAGAGTGAGTTAGCTATATCGACAATTCTATTTTTAGTAATGGAGTGTTTTCCAGACAAGGGTGGAATAGATGGCTACCAAATTGAGATACTCTTATTTAGTAACATTAGCTAGCTTACGTTAGCTAACGTCAGTCAAAGACAGCACAAACAAACAAACATTTTTACTTTACTGAAGGTAGCTACCAGTCTAGCAGTGACTACCATGGCATAGGCAAAATTGATTGACTGTGTGTATACCAAAAGATAGCTACATGATTTAGCTGATGGCTTTCAGAGTTCAAGACTGTAACGTAAGCTAGCTAGCTAATTTACCCAGCTAGGCTAGCAAGCTAGCTAACGTTAGGTTACCTCTAATTGCGAATCTTCCGTTTTGTTGTGAAGGAAAAAAAATCTATGGTATCTCAGTTGTCGTCGAAATGGGTTCCCCATCAGTTCAGCCTGAAAATCCCTCTGATTAACTTTGGTCACCACATCATTCTTGATAGCCGCAAGCCACTGGTAGAATTGGGGTGAATCTCTAGTATGTAGAATGGTGAAACATATCTAATTTTCGTGCTTGTTTGTAATTAGCTCAGCCTGGCACATAACACCACATGGGCATGATGAAAAACATTAGTGAAAAACAAATGTTTTCACAAAAATCTTACCTAGAGAAGTTCTGAGATTACTGTGTGTTAGTCGTTCTAAGTAAACAACGCCATTATTCATGTTGTGGCCACGCCCCCCTCTACCTAGCGGGCGGTATCAGCATTCGCTATGAATGCCGGACTTAGTGGTTCACTATGAGAAGACGAATACATAGGGAGTCGAAACTTCCCGATTCTGCCAGTGAAATGAAAATGTGCTAGTTTTAGCTTGTGGTTTGGAAAATTGTGATGTTTATGATAAAAACGTAATGTGGTTAATATAGTAATGACTATATGCCATGGCAGAGCCAGGGTGGAATTCCCCTTTAAAGTAAAGCCACGTGTTTCTATGGAGCCATTGACATCAGTATATTTAATCTCTGGACCCATTACAGGCCATATTAAGAATTTACACATGCCTAAGGGCAACTAACACACAGTGATTTGTGAAATCTTAATCATGTTAACCTTTAACCCAATGAGTCCCACCGCCACGCCAGTACGATTTGGACTTCTAACCCCTTTTAAACATTATGTGTTTGAGCTACAGACTTCTGGGTTGTACTTTTGGATTTGTCTATTTCTTCTGCATCAGTTGTCTGTGTGAGCTAGAGCGGTGTTTGTGAGACAAGGGCGGTTCCCAAAGGGGCCCGGGCTGGGTCTTTTTACAAAAACGTCTGTGGAGTCTGAATAGTTTGAGCTACAAACTATTAAAAGCTATCTATGAAAAGCTGAGACTCTCACAAACACTCACATGCTCTATGACGCTCACCAGCTACACAAGAGTCGTTAGAAGGTAAGGGTTCTTCTACATAGAAGATCATAGGAAATCCAACAACGTAGTGTCTATAATACTGTAATAAGCTCACATAGTTGCTGTCACAAACTCCAAACTCCACACAGTTGCCACTGACTAGTTGGATATTCATTTTCCACTGAGAAAAACAATTTATGTACTTACAGCATTCATATAAATTCATTTGTATCAGGTTTTTGCTTTGGCTGACCTTTTTTTTATTGACATTTGTCAATAAAACTCATGAATGCAACTGTTTATTTCAAATTGTTTTGTGTTTTACTTGTAGCCTGGTTGTCCTGAAAATAAAATGGTAAAACACTTCATTGTAAGGCTAAATAAAGGGCTATACATGCAGTCAGATCAAATCACATTTTATTTGTCACATGCGCCGAATACAACAGGTGTAGACCTTACTGTGAAATTATTACTTACAAGCTCTTAACCAACAATGCAGTTCAAGAAAGAGTTAAGAAAATATTTACTAAATAAGCTAAAGTTTAAACAAATAAATAATAATAACACTATAAAATAACAATAGGGGTACCGGTACCGAGTCAATGTGCGGGGGTACAGGTTAGATAAATGAAAAGCCGATTTTTGCTCGGGTCTCGGGACTGATAGGGTTAATGTTAGTCTGAAACTGTTGATATTCTGTACAGTGAGTTTAGATCAATATGCAATGCCTCTGATAAACATGTTTTTTGGTAGTTGGATTGCTGAAAAAGGTCACAGCAGACATCATTTAACACAGTTTATACCTGTTATTTCCAGAAGGGAATTTTTAAACAGTTTTTAGTTGTATTAGCCTTAAAGGTAAAGTTGATTCAAATTACACATTTCACCAATCTTATGGACATAGGCCTATGTAACAAAACAAGTTGTGGTTTGAGTTTTAACAATGTTTTTATTGGCTGCTATGAATGTCAAATGAGGCTCCAGATGTGAGGATTAATAGAACATCCTTGTTCCAACACTACAGCTCGCAGCTAGTGCACTGACTCTTATCCTATGTTAATCCATGGTGCTTGTCCTTTCAGGATTATTGTCTCTGGGAATTGAGTAACACCGAGGTTGTTTTGTTGTGTCTTTCAGCTCCTTGTGGTGGCCATTATAATGGATCTGAAGGCGTGGTACTCTCTCCTAACTTCCCCCACAACTACACCACTGGGCAAACCTGCTCCTACTACATCACTGTCTCTGGAGAATTTGGTGAGGTTAATCAAATGCATCATTATTAATGCAACACTTAAACTTATTCTATGCTTGACTAGTTTTACACCTCTGATTTATCTGCCTATTCGTGGGTTGCACCTCTGTCACTTGGACGCATCGTTGCCATTGTGATCAACGTTCTACAGACTCCACAGCCACATTAATGTCCAAAAGTAGAACGTGAGCTAATGACTGTTTCGCCTAAATTACACTAGTGGCTTGAAAATGGACATTGCTAAAGTAGGCAAATATTTAGTAGGAAACAGCTTAGCCATCATCATCATCATATTTACATTAGACTGATGGCAATGTTGTCATTAGCTAGCAAAGTTTGTCAAAAATAGCTAACATTAGCTAACACACTTTTGTACATTGCGCTGTTCTGTACATTTTACCTTATTTTAGCGCCCCAAAAACGTAATACTTCCAGGTCAACTGTAATATGAATACCATTGTAAAGCACAATTTCTCCCCTTTCCAGCAAAATCAATGACGAGACCTTCATTCTGCCCATCTCTGCATGATTGAAGAAAGCAATGGAGCTCCGCCGGGTCTTTTTAAAAATGGCGGGTGGGGAAGCGAAAGCTACTGCGTCATAGTGAAAGGGGGAGATATGTTGTGTGGGGAACCGGCTTTTTTCACCCGATTTGTCCAACTTATCACCTCTAAAATGTAAATAAAACACTATAAAGAGTTTATATAATGTCTCATTACATACCTAAATTTATCTTCACAATTAAACTGTGGGTGTCACGGTTTTTGAGAGTCATGATGGCTCGCAGTGGTTATGCGAAAAATTAACAATTGACTGAATTAACTATTGATGAGCTCACAAGTAATTAACTTTACACTCACCATTACACTCACCATTGATCATTTCTTGTTTTTAATCTGCGAGAGAAGCGCTACACCTGGTGGAAAGAGGCTGTATGGCACAGAATGAGTTGAATAATGCGTGTCGTACGTTACGTCATGACATGTCACACTTTAACGTACAGCGTCAGCGGGGTCCGTTTTTTCAACTTTTCTCCAATACTATTTGTCCATTACCATGTCAATCAACGCTGAATCGAAACTTAGTTCACACCCCGGATTTTGATGCCAACACAGTCGCTACAGTCCCATTAGTTTTCATTGCAGCCTCGTTTGAATGCCGCGGTTGTCCACATATGTACGGAACGGAGTTAGCTACCGTTAGCAATACTAATGTTAGCTAGCTAAAATCCGGTGGTCTCCCCTCAATCTTAGAACAGGAAGGCCCGCACACTGTTTATGCTCCCAATTCACTGCTTTATTGACAATGTTTAGATCCAAAACAGATCTTCGTCAGGTCAAACACTTAGTGCTCACATCCCAAAATATACACATTTCACCTCACATGACCATTACGCCCATGACACATGGTGTGTGTGGAAACAATTCAATTAACTTTTGCACAGAGTCAGTCATAATTAAAGGTACATATGGTCATAAAATATTATATACAAATCTGTCCGAGTTAAAACTTAGGCAACAGTAAAAAAGATTACGTTGGAAACTGTTGGAATACCCGCCCAAATGACCATTACGCGCATGATGTGCGGTGGCTGTAGATGTAATTACAGTGACCTATTTTTATTTTCTTCCAAATTGCGTACCTCTAATAATTTGATATCAATGAGATGGGCACGTATTAGTTACAGAAAATCTAATATATTCGTGTGTATAAAATGACCAAGTGGAAACCTGGATGGCAAGACAAATCAACATAACACATTCATGTAAGAAATGGTCTGATATCAAACTCTTGGTTCAGACCTTTAGGAGGCATGGTGGACAAACTGTGAATACAATACAATTCTCTAGACTATTTTAAATTGACACCCCTGAAATCTCCTCATATTCAGGCGTATAGAAAGCATAGATCAGTCATGAAGTGCTGAATCATGGACAAGGTATGCTAGTCATCCCTGGTTCTTGTTTGACCTCACACAAGTCATGCTTTCTTAATTGTGAGTGATATGCAGCAGGTATGACATCCAAAACATCTCTAATTGCATAAGGTATTTATCTAGCTCTCAGTGTGTGTTTATCATGCATGACCTGGTGTAGCAGATGTGAAATCGCTAGTTAAACAGTGTTGGCTAGTCCATTGTGTAGTGACATCACCCACCCTGAGACCTGAGTCGGCCCCAGGCCCCAGCCTATAACAACAATGGTTTTGGTAGGTGAGTGGTTAGCGCGCTAGCTTTGTGTCATTGTTGACAAGAGACCAAATCCCAAATTACCATTTTAAGCACTCAATTTTCCATTTGGGGACATGATTGTTTTGTAGCCACGATTTACATGTACTGTGATAACCTGTATGATGTCCCCATTTTGCCTCCTCAGTGGTATTTGGGCAGTTTGCCTACTTTCAGACAGCAATGAATGACTCAGTGGAACTATTTGATGGGGCCAGTCAGAATGCCAGGCTGCTAAGCTCCCTCGCTGGGTTTCACTCAGGTAAGTAATAGCTTTCCATTCCTTCCATTGTTTATAGTCTTTAAATGAACAAAACTAATGGAAAACACTTGCACATGTGGATTTTGTTTGCCGTCAGTTGGGAAACAGAAGAGGTGTTGCTAATACAAAAGGCCTCAGCATGATCTCTGTATTAGTAACTGCTGTTGGCACTTATTACTGTCTCGTTCAAAATGTTTTAATTTCAGTAATTAGTATTGTGACATTACATCCATGCAAGAACAGGAAGGGCAGCCATTTTGGAAATAAGTGTTGCTTCAACGAGTATCCAAAGACACTGTATCAGTCCTTATACAGTGGCCACATTTATCTCACAACCTCTATAATTGCGTGACATCCATGCAAGACCAGCAATAATTTATTGGGATTAAGAATATAAACATGGGGATACTTTATGCATAAAGATTAAAGCACAGAGCCTGTTGCAATCCAACCCTGTTTTGAAATGCAAGGCAGAATAGTGTTTGACGTGATAGGATTTGACGTAATAGGGATGCTTTTTTATGTGTTAACAAAATGTCAGCCATTGTGTACTGTATCTACCCACTTAAAACAGGATTCCTCACTGAAGATAGAACCAATCACAAATAAACATGTTGTATTTTTATTTTTTATGATGAGTCTGTTCCACCAAGCTCAACGGTCATATACCTTATAGACTATTCTCTCAGTATTTTTATTCTTTCAAGCCACCTAATACAATTTGAGAATTGCTGTCCCCTTCTGATTTATCGCTGTTATTGGGGAAGGTAATTACATTTCTGAACAGAAATCACCCTCAACATTACATTATTTTGAGGAATGATGAAGGCCAATGAATATAAACTGTTTCTATGGCACCTTTTACTATTCAGATTTTTTTATTCTGCAGTGCAACAATATATTCCCAAGGGAGATGCTGATTGTTTGATTTTACTTTGTCTTTGAAAACGTTAGATTTCCCCATTCAGTAATGCAGTATGTGGAGTACTATAGAAATGTAAATTAAAAGGTTATTACTGAGTTAGATAACACATGAATTACCTCTGACATGTCCAATACGTGTACACTAATCTTCTATGGGTTTCTATCAACAAATAACTTGTGTTTTCCCTGTCTATTCATGGTGACATTTGAATTATAATGATACATTACATCATACAGGTTCATAATGCATTGGGTGTTTTCACCTAAATGGAGGCTGATTAGCCACCTACATTAGCCACATCCACAATAAGCTACTCTACTTTATTATAGGCTTTCAAATGTCATGGCTTTCAAATAAATTCAAGCCATTAAGAAATACTCCCTACCATGTTTCATCGTCCAGCTCATTCATCACAGCTGATGAAAAGTTTCAACTCAGGCCTACTATTGTGTATAGAAAGTTGTTTCCTTGTCCAACATTCTCATTATTGATAAGACTTAGTGTGCCCCTTTATTATTAAAATAGTCCTCTACTGCATAGATAATACTTCAAAGATAAACTGCCAACATCATGCTATTTACCCATCAAGATTTTGAATGGGAGCTGGTATATTTATAAGAAGCTATTCATCATGCAGCCTAGGTATTGTTCTGTATAGCATACAAGAAGGGTCAGGGATCTCAAGAAAGAGCACTGTTGGCTTCAGAGGGTTAACACTGTAAGTCAGCATATTGTGCTGTTTAAAAAAATATATATTTTCATATTTTTATCCTTTATTTTGTAGGAGAGACCTTGCCCCTGGCCACATCAAACCAAATTATGGTGCGATTCACTGCAAAGAATGGTCCTTCTGCCAGGGGTTTCCACTTTGTTTACCAAGGTATGTGTACATACTTTAGCAATACATACACACACTCTGGTCACATGCATGACAATTCCTCACAGTTTTTACCCCTGTGGCAGTGGGTGTTTTTCTGGGGGTCCTGGAGGCCTCCGACAGTCCACCCACCACAGGCACCAGAGGGTCTTATCTACCGGTGTTATTGTTCACACATTTGTCAGGCTGTTCAGGGGGTTTGCTGTTATCTCTCTTGCCCCATGGCAGCCTAGGGGACCAGTCCTCTAATCATTACAGCTGCGCAGGGCATGTCATGGGAAAAGGGAATTTTATCTGCATTACTGTAGTAGTCAAGGAGCAGAAGGGCTCACAACCTCCATACAGATACAACGTTGAAAGTATGTTGAAAGTGTCATATCTAATATTCAAGGACTCTTGCATAATCAATAGAAAATGTCACACATGAATATATAAAATAGAAACCCACGTTTTATAAAACGTTTCAAGGATGGAGTACAATGTAACTTTTTTTTTTTGCCTTTGGTGTCATTCCTACTTTATTTCAGTGTCATTTAGAGATTCTCTCCAGATGCAGATAATAGCTCACCCTCAGTACGCATCAAGCATTTTCTCTCTCTGTGAAAGTTGTAATAACTAAGCTGTGTGAATTACATGAACATATACTGTACAGTGTTTGCCAGAGCATGCTTATTACTATGTCTGCTATTTTCTTGCTTCACTGTTTGATGATGTACTGCACTGAAGGGTGTTTGAAAAATACTCACTGGTTTGGTACATGGAGGCATCCAAGTGATGATTGCAGAGCACTCTCTGCTCCTGTATAGATCTATAAATATTAGACACAATCCCAGCCCAACAGTAAAGACCTCAAATATGGCACCAAGGTATACCACAGAGTTTAAATAGTATTTGAATCCAGGTCTAGATGTCACAGGCACAGCGCAACCCAAGCTATTATTCAGTTCAGGGACTTAAATTGAACCTAAAGTCAAAAAATGCTATGCACTCTCATTAATGCTTTAATATAAAATGGTTTATGAGAGCGCAGACTGTTTTGGTCAATCAAATCAACAATTATTTAAAGTGCATTTAAAACCTCAACACACTTTACATAAAATAAAGTTCAGGCAAACAAGAGGAAGTAAAAATGATTAATAAAATAAAACTAAACACAGAGGATATCTAAAACAATAATTGATTAAAGGCCAGGCTAAAAAGGTTGTTTTTTAAATGTGATTTAAAAACCTCAATGGTGTCTTCCCCTCTTACCTGACAGGGCAAGCTGTTCCATAACTGAGGGGCTTTGATAGAGAACACTCCGTCCCCCACCTTGGTTCTGCATCTAGGTACAGTAAGCAGACCGGCTTCCTGCTTCTGCATCTAGGTACAGTAAGCAGACCGGCTTCCTGCTTCTGCATCTAGGGACAGTAAGCAGACCGGCTTCCTGCTTCTGCATCTAGGGACAGTAAGCAGACCGGCTCCTTGGGAGCGGAGCACCCTCACTGGGTTGTATGGAACGAGCATGTCTGTCAGATAAGAGGGGGCAAGGCCATGCAGTGGTACATACTGTTTTGATGTACTGTAGTACAGATTGTACCCAATCATGTTTTGAATATCAGATATATATCTGGTTTCATTGTCATCTTCCATGCCTCAGTGTTCTGAATGTTCATGATTGAATAACAGTGATAACACATGGTAATGCGGCAGGTAGCTTAGTGGTTAAGAGCGTTGTGCCAGTAACCGAAAGGTCGCTGGTTCTAATCCCCGAGCCGTCTAGGTGAAAAATCTGTCGATGTGCCCTTGAGCAAGGCACTTAACCCTAATTGCTCCTGTAAGTCGCTCTGGATAAGAGCGTCTGCTAAATGACAAAAAAATAAAAAATAAAAAAATTCAGCATGCATTAGCCACACATCTCTATATGGCTGATGATACATTGGGATCATTATAAAGGTCTCATATGTCCATAATGACAAATCATATACCACTACCACATTGTATTGCAATTTTCCTGTGTTAACACATATCTAGGTGTTAACAACACTGGGTACTATTTTCTTTGTAGCTGTTCCTCGCACCAGTGACACGCAGTGCAGCTCTGTCCCAGAGCCACGCTACGGCAGACGGATTGGGTCCGAGTTCTCCGCTGGCTCCGTTGTTCGCTTTGAGTGCAACCCCGGGTATTTGCTACAGGGATCCAAAGCCGTCAAATGCAATGCGGTCCCCAATGCGCTAGCCCAGTGGAATGATACTGTGCCTGCTTGTGCTGGTAAGCCTCCTCAAATCAGTCACATTTGTGGAGATTGAGTTAAAGATGGATAAATGTTGTTGTTAAAGGGCAATTCCATATTAATTATCTCCAACACCACACCATCTGAAAATGACACGTTTATACGATCTGCGGTTACAATAGACTAACTTTATATATTTATATATTCAATATATAAAGTTACATTCATAAAGTTAAAGTGTATTTTAACCACAGATCATATAAATGCGTCATTTTTACATATGTAGACTCCAGTATGGTGCTGGAGATAGTTAATTACTACAAAACGTAAGAATACGCCGTTTTCACAAATGGAGACATCGGTGTGGTGCTGGAGATAATGATGAATATGAGGTTGAAATGTGGTGGAATTGCCCTTTAAGAACAACAGAATATGTAATAGATATGTAATTATTTTTACGTTGGTAAATTACCATAAACAGTCTAAGATATTGGTGACTGAGATTATTCTTTAGTCACAATAATGTTCTGCAAGAAATTATTCAAATTTACCCTGGTTGTCTTGTCTCACCATGGGTACAGGAACCTTGCATATGCCCTGTTCAGTGTGATTAAAATGTCCCCTCTGTTTCGCTCCCCAGTTCCATGCAGCGGGAATCTGACAGAGCGAAGAGGCACCATCCTCTCCCCGGGATTCCCCGAGCCCTATGGGAACAGCTTGAACTGCGTGTGGAAAATCATTGTCACCGAAGGAGCTGGGATTCAGGCAAGTACAAAAGGTTCAGGTCTGAACTCATCAAAAGCAATAAGTTACGCTGACAGAGAGAAGATAGGGAAAATGTATTTTGAGTGACAGGCTGTAGCACATTTTAACTGACAGTCACCCTACTGAGAATAAAATAAAATTAGACTGGCTAAACGTAGGTTTAAATTAGACCTGCTGCCAACAGAAGTAGTTTAAAAGCACACAAAAAACCAGCTGCAGTCTTATCGCTATTGATTGTGCCACAATGAGGCACAGTATAAAACCTGGGTTTATGTTTATAATGCTTTAGCAGGAAAGAAAACTTCCCCTCAATAAAAAAACACCAGTCTCTCAACTAACCATTACAAATGTCTCCTGAGTGGCGCAGTGGTCTAAAGCACTGCATCGTAGTGCTAACTGTGCCACTAGAGATCCTGGTTCGAATCCAGGCTCTGTCGCAGCCGGCCGCGACCGGGAGACTCATGGGCGGCGCACAATTGGCTCAGCGTTGTCCAGGGTAGGGGAGGGAATGGCCGGCAGGGATGTAGCTCAGTTGATAGAGCATGGCGTTTGCAACGCCAGGGTTGTGGGTTCGATTCCCACGGGGGGCCAGTATATAAACAAAAAAAGATATATGTATTCACTAACTGTAAGTCGCTCTGGATAAGAGCGTCTGCTAAATGACTAAAATGTAAATGCTTGTCCTTTCAGAGAGAAGGCAGGTACATTATATTTGTCACTCTATTTTTTTTTTTTAGATCCAAGTGATGAGCTTCGCCACCGAGCACAATTGGGATTCCTTGGAAATCTATGATGGACAAGACATGACAGCTCCTAAACTTGGAAGCTTTTCAGGTGGGAATTGGATCACTTGATCACGCATTGAACCGCACGTTTCCCCTTCATTAAATGTGAGAGATCATATCTGTGTGCAATATATTAGGTTTCTTGTGTTCTACAGAATTCTTACAGGCTTTTTATTTTGAAGACCACAGTTAAAATGAAACCCACTCATCTTTATCTTCCATAGTTCCTCCAGGGGACTGAACATTGATCTGCCGCCAATACTTTTCTGTGCCATCTTTTACACAGCAGACCAATGTCCCTATTTTCATGTTGGATGACTCACAGTAACAGCTCCAGATACCTTTTGAGATCCAGTTGGCTGTCATCTTGGCCTTCATTGTCACCCTGTTAATTCTAGTAACAGCATTCCCACAACTTAACAGCTGTGTCTGCTATCTAATGAAGATGTTGAATGCGATGTCTGTATTAGGCATGATCAGTGATACATACAGGCCTTATTAAAATAGAAAATAGAGGGCCCTTCCCTTGTCTGGCAAATGTTTGGGTTTATCAATCTTGACTAGATCCACTAGTTTATTATTTTCTGTGTGTGTACGTCATTTTAAATGAGTCAGAAAGTGAGGCCAGTTGGGGAAGAAGCTAATGACTGACATCTACATTGGGGACATGTGGGAACTCAGCTACCCTGAACTCACATGCCTGGTGCACCAGTGGGCGGAGGGTGTCTTGACTTAAGACTGTCCTCCTTTAGCGCAACCTGATCATGCTAAATGCGAACTGATACAGTTGAAGTCGGAAGTTTACATACACCTAGGTTGGAGTCATTAAAACTTGTTTTTCAACCACTCCACAAATGTCTTGTTAACAAACTATAGTTTTGGCAAGTCGGTTAGGACATCTACTTTGTGCATGACACAAGTAAGTTTTCCAACAATTGTTTACAGACAGATTATTTCACTTATAATTCACTGTATCACAATTCCAGTGGGTCAGAAGTTTACATACACTAAGTTGACTGTGCCTTTAAACAGCTTGGACATTTCCAGAAAATGATGTCATGGCTTTAGAAGCTTCTGATAGGCTAATTGACATCATTTGAATCAATTGGAGGTGTACCTGTGGATGTATTTCAAGGCCTACCTTCAAACTCAGTGCCTCTTTGCTTGACATCATGGGAAAGTGAAAATAAATCAGCCAAGACCTCAGAAAAAATGTGTGGACCTCCACAAGTCTGGTTCATCGTTGGGAGAAATTTCCAAACGCCTGAAGGTACCACGTTCATCTGTACAAACAATAGTATGCAAGTATAAACACCATGGGACCACGCAGCCGTCATACCACTCAGGAAGGAGACACGTTCTGTCTCCTAGAGATGAACGTACTTTGGTGCGAAAAGTGCAAATCAATCCCAGAGCAACAGCAAAGGACCTTGTGAAGATGTTGGAGGAAACAAGTACAAAAGTATCTATATCCACAGTAAAACGAGTCCTATATCGACATAACCTGAAAGGCCGCTCAGCAAGGAAGAAGCCACTGCTCCAAAACCGCCATAACAAAGCCAGACTACGGTTTGCAACTGCACATGGGGACAAAGATTGTACTTTTTGGAGAAATGTCCTCTGGTCTGATGAAACAAAAATAGAACTGTTTGGCCATAATGACCATGGATATGTTTGGAGGAAAAAGGGGATTGCTTGCAAGCCGAAGAACACCATCCCAACCGTGAAGCACAGGGGTGGCAGCATCATGCTGTGGAGGTGCTTTGCTGCAGGAGGGACTGGTGCACTTCACAAAATAGATGGCATCATGAGGAAGGAAAATGATGTGGATATATTGAAGCAACATCTCAAGACATCAGTTAGGAAGTTAAAGATTGGTCACAAATGGGTCTTTCAAATGGACAATGACCCCAAGCATACTTCCAAAGTTGTGGCAAAATGGCTTAAGGACAACAAAGTCAAGGTATTGGAGTGGCCATCACAAAGCCTTGACCTCAATCCTATAGAAAATGTGTGGGCAGAACTGAAAAAGTGTGTGCGAGCAAGGAGGCCTACAAACCTGACTCAGTTACACCAGCTCTGTCAGGAGGAATGGGCCAAAATTCACCCAACTTATTGTGGGAAGCTTATGGAAGGCTACCCGAAACGTTTGACCCAAGTTCAACAATTTAAAGGCAATGCTACCAAATACTAATTGAGTGTATGTAAACTTCTGACCCACTGGGAATGTGATGAAATAAATAAAAGCTGAAATAAATCATTCTCTCTACTATTATTCTGACATTCAACATTCTTAAAATAAAGTGGTGATCCTAACTGACCTAAGACAGGGAATTTTTACTAGGATTAAATGTCAGGAATTGTAAAAAACTGAGTTTAAATGTATTTGGCTGAGGTGTATGTAAACTTCCGACTTCAACAGTGTATATATATATACTTCCGGAGACATTTGAAACCCCACCTCTTTAAGGAATACCTGGGATAGGATAAAGTATTCCTTCTAACCCCCCCCCCCCCCCCCCCCCCCCCCCCCCCCCAAATTGTAAAGTGGTTATCCCACTGGCTATAGGGTGAACGCACCAATTTGTGAGTCGCTCTGGCTAAGAGCGTCTGCTAAATGACGTTAATGTGCCCTTGAGCAAGGCACTTAACCCTAATTGCTCCTGTAAGTCGCTCTGGTTAAGAGCGTCTGCTAAATGACTAAAATGTAAATGTAAATATATATATACAGTGGGGAGAACAAGTATTTGATACACTGCCCATTTTGCAGGTTTTCCTACTTACAAAGCATGTAGAGGTCTGTAATTTTTATCATAGGTACACTTCAACTGTGAGAGACGGAATCTAAAACAAAAATCCAGAAAATCACATTGTATGATTTTTAAGTAATTAATTTGCATTTGATTGCATGACATAAGTATTTGATACATCAGAAAAGCAGAACTTAATATTTGGTACAGAAACCTTTGTTTGCAATTACAGAGATCATACATTTCCTGTAGGTCTTGACCAGGTTTGCACACACTGCAGCAGGGATTTTGGCCCACTCCTCCATACACACCTTCTCCAGATCCTTCAGGTTTTGGGGCTGTCGCTGGGCAATACGGACTTTCAGCTCCCTCCAAAAATGTTCTATTGGATTCAGGTCTGGAGGATGGCTAGGCCACTCCAGGACCTTGAGATGCTTTTTACGGAGCCACTCCTTAGTTGCCCTGGCTGTGTGTTTCGAGTCGTTGTCATGCTGGAGGACCCAGCCACGACCCATCTTCAATGCTCTTACTGAGGGAAGGAGGTTGTTGGCCAAGATCTTGCGATACATGGCCCCATCCATCCTCCCCTCAATACGGTGCAGTCGTCCTGTCCCCTTTTCAGAAAATCATCCCCAAAGAATGATGTTTCCACCTCCATGCTTTACGGTTGGGATGGTGTTCTTGGGGTTGTACTCATCCTTCTTCTTCCTCCAAACACGGCGAGTGGAGTTTAGACCAAAAAGCTCTATTTTTGCCTCATCAGACCACATGACCTTCTCCCATTTCTCCTCTGGATCATCCAGATGGTCATTGGCAAACTTCAGACGGGCCTGAACATGCGCTGGCTTGAGCAGGGGGACCTTGCTGTGCTGCAGGATTTTAATCCATGACGGCGTAGTGTGTTACTAATGATTTCTTTGAGACTGTGGTCCCAGCTCTCTTCAGATCATTGACCAGGCCTGCTGTGTAGTTCTGGGCTGATCCCTCACCTTCCTCATGATCATCCAAGATGGCGTAGTAGTGCAGTCCTGTTTTTGTCGTGTGTCTGTAAATAGCCTGTAAATACCCTGTTTTTTTTGTATTTTTCGTACATATTTCCCTATCAGACTTTTCATCCTTCTACAAAATATACTTTCCTGCAACCCACCTCACTCAATGTGGAACGGATTCTATTATTGACTTACCTTTTATCTAGAATCTCCAGTTGAAACTAGCTAGCCAGCTAACTAGCTACTTGCTATTAGCCACAGTTAGCGGTATTTCACCCAGAACATTGGATTTTCTGCGGGAATAATTTAATCACTGGACATTAATCACCGGATCGCAACTAGCTAGCCGCAACCGAATGGATGTTGCTGTCTGGCTAATTCACCACTGCCCCCGATGCAAGCACCAGTTAGCCTCGAGCTAGCCTAGAGCCAGGCTCATATCTACCTCTAGGTCTACCGGACGGGAGTAGCCAGCTAACTAGCTACTTGCTATCAGCTACTGTTAGCGGTTTTTTCACCATTGTCCGTGGCCTGCACCACCCACCAGCCAGCTCTAGTCTGGACTATTATTCGGCCAGTCTGCACAGCGTGTTATCGACCCAGAACATATCAGTTCTTCTGCCGGAATCACTGAATCACTGGACCTTTAACTCCGGATTCATCGCTACCAGCTAGCTGCAACAAAATGGACATGTGGTCTGGCTAATCATCCTGAGCTAGGCCCATCTCCCAGCTATCTACCTCTATGTCAACCGGACGGGACCACCTAGTGTTGACACGGAGCCCCGCCGATCCTACACGACTGGTCTGCCGACGAAATCGTCTGATGTGATTACAACAGGCTTCCCGTTACCACGTCGACCACGAAGATTCCATCTGCTAGCCCCGGCCCGCTAGCACACGCTAGTGCTTTAGCAGCCCCCGAACTATCCTATTGCTGTTCACCGGACCTTATGATAACTCAGCTATACAGCTGATGCCTGCTGGACTGTTCCTTTTTACGGTACCGCATCCTGTTTATGTTTAGCCTCAGCCCAAACTGAGGGGCTCAGTGTCGTCATTACCAGCTGTTGTCTTAGCTCTCTCAAATTACACCGTGATTGCTTTATGCCTCTCTCCCATCTCAATATGGTTAGCTTATTGTTGTTTCGGTTATTTCTAATTGTACTATTTCACTGTAGATCCCCCAGCCCAGCTAAACCTGCCTTAGATAGCTCCTTTGTCCCACCCCCCATACACGCGGAGACCGACTCAATTTGTGCCTCCAGTGATGCTATCTCTTTCATTGTTACCCAACGCTTAGGTTTAC